TATGACTAAGGGTGCTTGGAACAAGCTCATTCTGTAGAATTTCCCTAAGTTGCCACTGGACAGCAGATGTGTGACTGCAGGGCTGATGCATTTGAGGATTTATTCTTTAACTAGGTGGCCTGGCCAGTGATTGCTCCCAGATCTTCCCTTGCTGGAAGCATGCAGTCAGGCAGATTCCAAAGGTAGCAGTGGTGCCTCTAAGTGTCACCAGGCACACTGTCTATTAGCAATGCAGCTAGGTCACCCCTTTACATCACAGAATTTGTAGTCAGTACTTCATATTCCTGAGTGTGGAAATGGAGTGAGCAGCCAAGTGCTAGCAGGCATGGATTCACCAGAGGATCCCAGGCGAATGTGGCACTTAGCTGCCAACAGAAGTTGTCAAGAATGGGGCAACTCACTCCTGTAAATCAAGTTGGAAACTGCTACCCAGCCATTCCCACCCCAACCAAACAAACCCTGAAGGTAACTGCTCAACTTATCACTGTGATCCAGGGGTTAAAAATCAATCTTTTATACATAGAATTTGTACCTGTTGTTTAAAAGCAAAGTAATACTTGAAGTGGCCAAATCCCAAAGGCAAATGGCTTTGCTTTTCGTATGTCACTCTTAGTGACTTCTCAAGTAGTTATTATCTGCATGAAGATTATTCTGAGTGGTTTATTGGGCAATTATAACTTGTCAGCAGTTAGCATAAAATGACTAGGATCTAAAGACATGACTTAAAAGCCCATCATAAAGGGCTTTTGAAACACAGCTCTGATGCTGCTACTTAAGGCAATATTTAAAGAATGATTCGCAAACTGCTACAGGAAAAGCAGCTATATTGTATAAAGGTGCAAGAATGACTGATGGTCTGATTTACAACCCCAAAGAGTTTCTTGCTCTTGAAAAAGTAGTCTATCTCCGCATCTCATAATTTCAAAGTAATTCATCTTTGGAAAAGCAAATCCCCTTGCAATATGCACCTGGCTTTTCATTTGAGCTCTTCAGAAGGGTCCTAAGGAGACACCAACAAAGACAGCTCAGCTGTTTGCCTATGTACTTCAGACATATTCTGTACATCTCCTTTGGAAACCAAGCGAAAAGAAGAGGAAGAATTGCACTTTATTCAAGGGGCAGGTATAAGATTTCAGAAAAGGTGCTACCCCTTGAAGTAGTGCTTTTGCATACAGTCCTTCCGTCATGGAATCATAGAATCACAGAATGGTTTGGGTTGGAAGGGACCTTAAAGATCACGTAGTTCCAACCCCCTGCTGTAAGCAGGGACACCTCCCTGATGGGGCTCACAGCCCCATCCAGCCTGGCCTTGAGTGCTTCCAGGGAGGGGGCACCCACGACCTCGTTGGCCAACCTGTTCCAGTGTCTCACCACCCTCACAGCAGAGAATTTCTTTCTAATGTCTGGTCTAAACCTAACCTCTTCCAGTTTAAAACCATTTCGCTTTGTCCTGTCGCTTTCTACCCCTGTAAAAAATCCCTCCCCAGCTTTTCTGTAGGCCCCCTTCAAGTACTAGAAGGCTGCTGTAAGTCACATTCTCTCCATTCTGATTTTGACAACCACCGGGTTTATTCGTCATCTATCAGACTGGACAAATAGGGAGAAGATGTGAGAGCTTCCTGGGCATCTTCTTTGTGCCATCGCGTGACCTCCTCTATGGCAGATCCTGAAGTTTGGATGTCATCCCTTCATGTGCTCTTTTATGCAGAGAAGGTGGAGCTCAGCAGCAAGAGAACTTGCTCTGTTCTTTGTAAAGACCCAATTAATCTTGCTACTGTCATGTGGGTAAGCATACAAAACCTGGTACATCAGCCTAGAAGCAGCCAAGAGACCCAAGGTGTCCCTCACCCTATTTGCCATTGCTGAAATCTACTGGCTAAAGTTCCTCTGTTCCATTTAAATCCAGAACTTCTGCCAAATCACCAGTGCTTAGCTCTTCTTGGTCTGTGATGCAATCCTTCCTTAGTCTTACAAACCCACTTCCTTCTCAGTTGCAGGGGATTAAATTTCTTTCAGAATCAGCTGAAACACACTGTGCTCTTCCAAACAATGGATTAGCATTAGGGTAAATTAATCTGTGATCTCATTCATCATTTATTTCAGTTCTCTTGGTAAAGCAGACCACATATCAGTCTTTTGACAGTCAGCACAGATTTCTCGATGTCTTAGAGAAAAAAGCTTTGGCATCTGGTGTAACCAGTGCAGCTCCAGCAGTATGGGAGCGCAGGGTGTGGGAGGCAGAGCTCTTGAATGCCAGCAATACACCTCTAATGACCTGTGATGGATTTCACTGAATGAACAACAGTGGAGGACCTGCAAAATTATTTATTTTTCTGTGGCTTCCTATTAGCAGCATTCCTGAGTAACCTGATGCTTCTTTGGTGCAGGTTCGTTTGTATTAAGTTGCTCCCCTGCATGACTTTCCTTCCTGCATGTCTCACTGTAAAGTGGTGCAGAAGGACATTAAATAAGCTATTCGTGAAAATGAGAAAATTGGAAAAAATTGTTACATAAATGTGATCATTATCTAGTAAATTAAATAAGAAATCCAAAATGTCCACGATCATAACCTCCCACAAACCAGAGACTTCAACAGACATGCTGTCATTAGAATCACCTGGCTTTCCATGCTTGCCACAGCAGACAAAACATAGTAAATACCAGCCATTCAAATATGAAGAAATTAGTCTCCGGATGTTGCTGGTGTTAATGGCTAGTTAACAGGGTCCAGATTTTGGAGGTTCGTCTTCCTGAGAGCAGTGCTGGGGACATTGTATGTCGCCAGGGTGTGCAGGGAGCATTGCTGCTGTGCACGTCATGCCTGGAAGTCTCCTGCAGATACCAGGAGGAAAAAAAGCATCAGAAAACTGAAAGAGAAAAGCAGCAGAACAGTTTTGTGAAAGATGGAAGAAGGAAGAAGGAGAGGAGCAGTCTGAGCTTCACACGTGGTTACTGCGATGGCACTGGATATGGGCCTTTTCTATCTAAATATCTTGAACTCTAAGGCTAAGGAAGTCAATGTACTTAAAAAAAAAAAGACTGGGGAAGACAGGAGTTTGTACTTTCTCATTTGCTTCACCATGAAAAACGTAGACAAAAGTAGGATAATTTTCTATCGTTGTTGCATTTCTCCTTGTGGTTCTTTTAATCCCGTTTCATTTTCCAGAGAGAATTGCAATGTTCCCCATCCAAAACCAGTTCTTGTCCCTGATGAAGGGTGATCATTGGAAGTGCTCTCTCCCAGGTCAGTCACTTGGTCCTGGTTCTCTGCTTCTTTCTGGAAGATACGATTGTTTGCAGGAGACAACATGAGTGTCCAGAGGCTTCCCTGTAACAGAGTGGTGGAAATGTCTCCCAGTCCATGCCAGTGCAGCCTGTTCTCTTCACCCCAGTTAGCAATACAGCATGGCACGGGGGGGGGCAAACCAGCAGCATGGAATTTGAGAGGGACCTGGTCCCCGAAAGGAGGAGCCATCTTGCAACAGGAGCACAGCAGTGGATGCTTACCTGGTGCACTCAGTGAAGTATAGCAGCTCAAGGTCTTTTGCAGCTCAGACAAGAATCTCGACAGACCATAAACAAGTGACCAGACTGTGAAATACAGAACAGCTCCATGATATTTGCAGGAAGCCAAAAGGAAGCGTGATGTGGCAGGAGGTGGCATGGGGCACACTCCATGAGAGAGCTGTGCTCTGGCATGAACCAAAGATCATCCTTGAAATGGAATAACAAGACAAGTGAGGAGCATAATGGATGAAACTGGGCTCTGGGGCCATCCAATTTTCCTATCTCAGTACGAGGGCAGGAGCAGCAAGCTCCAACTGGCCATCAGAGGGCAAACTGCTCCAAGCATTGCTGTGTTGTTCAGTGCTGGCATTGCTAACTGCCTGCATTTAGTCTTCTTTCTTCAAAGATAACTAAGGCCAAGCTTCCAAGGAGTTTTAATTGTTTGGACATTTTGGAAAGGTTTTAACAGGCTCTATTTTAACGAGACAGAAACATTGGAAAAGGCAGCAAGCAAAGCAGGACACACTGCAAATGTCCTGGAGCTCTTGGGTCAGCACAGGAATTCCTTATTTCTCCAGTGACGGAAAAATTATTGCAAAAAGTTGCAGTTAAAACAGGCTGCTAGTGAATGTTGGGACTGCTAAAAATAGGGACTGTGCTGGTCCAGGTTTAACTCTTAAAGGAGCAGGCAGTGGTTTCTCTTTGGAGAGTGGCCATTTCTGTAGATGGTCAGCTTTCAGCACACCTTCTGGCTGGCCTGAACCTCTGATGACAATAAAGAGCGCTAATTAACAAGGAGCAGTTACTGTAGTCCATCAGCACAAGGAGAAACAGGCTGTCAGACATGGCCTGAAGATCTCTTTATCCCTCTGATTTTGCCCAGCAGCCTCTTCATCTGTCTACACAAGTCTCCACCACTTAATTTCACAGATCTATTTGCCATGTATAAGCAGTAAGGTGGCTTCCTGGCAAACGTATTTATCTTCCTTGGTTTATTGGTCCGTCCATCCGCAAATATTGCTTCCAACTTTTATCTTCTTTGCATAATGCAAGGATAGAGAAAAGACTGTCATTCTGAAAACCGAGAAATATCCCTATATATCTCTTTTCTCTGCTGAATAAGCAGTGAAACAACTGGAGTTTAGGTCAGTTACAAAATTAGGAAGCAGGAGGTCCTGCACCTGCTCTATCCAGTCAGCCATTATTGCTGCCAGAGAGTCCTTGGAGGTAAGAAGCAGACTTGCTGCATTTCTCCATTTCTTGAAGTGTCACAGAAGAACTGACTGGTAAAGTTCATTCAAACACCTGTGCTCGCACAGACTGCCATGGAAATATAGCAGTACACAGCCAAAAGGCATAGATTGCAGCTGGGTTAGGACAGGAAGGTTTCCAATATCAGATGAAGTCAACTGCCTGACCTGTTATCATGCTATCAGCACAGTACAAAAACCAAGCTATAAGACTATTGACAGCTGCTGCAGAAAAGAACTTACCCCCTCCCACCAGATCTGCTTGGCAGAGCATGGGAACAAGCCCACCCTGCCCTGTGCTGGAAAGGACCAGAAAGTCCAAGCAGTGATGGTGAGCACGTGAAGCTGGAGGTGCAATCCTGGTGATGCTTCCTGCAGATCTGGCAGTTGTCCAATTGCTCTTAACAGTTGTACTTAAGTAAGTAACCCACGAGGATCCAACAAATGATGGCGAGCACCAGCTTGGCTGGACAGGGGAGGCTTTGGCAGGGCTGAGAGGCAGACTGTTAGGAAGGGAAAGTAGCTGGTGATCAGAGCAGGAATGTGGTCACTGGGCACAAGGGCAGCTGTGCTTGAGCCTCTTCAGATTGATCGCAGCTCAAACCTATCCTTGAATCCCCTCAGTGAGGAGCTCGGGGCCCTGTTAATCCCAGGCTCTCACATCTGCACAGTTCCGCTACGAAGGATGAGGCGGATGATCGCACTGATCTGTATTCAACATCTACACTTTCCAAGTGGTTTTGTTCCTTCTGGTCTGCCTGGCCCTTTGCAGTGCCTGGTCAGTGTAGTAGCAACCTCCTCGTGATGTGAGGGGGCCCTCAGAGCCCTCACAAAGCATAGCGTGGAGGTACGAGCTTTGCAGGATGAAGCCCTCAGCCCAGAGGCCAAACACCCAGATCATTGCCTGGGTGTAAACGTGGCACAGTCCAGGTGTCAAGCCCAAACAGACTGCTTGAGCACTGTGAGGCTCAAGCCCACGTACCTTATTGCTGTCCTGCAAAAGTGCTGTCCTGGCACTGATAACACGGTGGAATTTTGGCATTAAACCCCGACAAGCCATGCACCTTCAGAAGCAATGGTCAACCTTGGTTTCTGTCTCTGCTTGGGGGAGCAATGGGCTGGGTCAGAGCAGACTGTGTGTCTTCTCATTTTACTCCTGTTCCAACAGGAGGTGGAGGTTGGCAGCTCCGGATCCCAGACCACGGCTTCCACACCATTAAGGAAATAATAGTAATATTTACAAAACAATAGTATATTCATGGAGTAACAGGAAAATATTGCTTTTCTGACTCCAGTTCCAGGTCAAAAAGAGGTATTATCAGCACTCACATGTGAGCTCAGTTGCTTTACTAAGAAGCAACTCTAATCCCTGCCTGGACTCTGTCCTGGGTTTTTAATGCCTGATTAACTACCTCCTGCCAGGATGATTGTGCATCTTTGCATGTTTTGGAGCTGTCTGTTTCTATTTATCACTACAGACAATTGAACTTTTTAAACCAACGCTCATTTGCATTGGCAATTTCAAGTACCATGTGTGTGTTTATAGCTGAATGGTGACTGGAGCACATTTCAAAGGGCTTTTCGGGTGATGTGCCATTTTCTCAGGGAGCAAATATGGTGTGAGACACTCTCACGTAAAGGTGAGGTGTTACTGTAGGTCTTAGTCCTTGTGGGAGATGCCACATGTCACCTCCATAAGCCAGCAAATTGCCACCAGTTTTAATGGGAGTTGCTGGAAAACTGGTTCCTGACCCATAGAACATTTGGTCCTTTCATAGGAAATAAAAAAATAACATTGATTTTAGGTTTTGGTGTTGTTTTTTTTTGTTGTTTTTTTTTTTTTTTAAAATTTTATTCCCAGAATAAAAACTCAAAATTGCAGTATAAAATACAAATTTTACCATGGAAATTTTTACATATCACATTCTAATATTCCTTCCAAGAAAAATTCAAAACTGGCTGGAAAAATCCCTTCTTTACCAGCTGTAATTACCTGTCCCCTCAGCAGCCCACTCGGAGCAGCTGGATCTTGTTATGTACAGGCACTTGCCCAAACTGCATCCTACATCTTGGATCCAGCACCTTCCTCCTCAAGAAGCAGAAGCCCTCACAGCCCATGTGAGACCTCCTAGAACTATTTGCAATCTCTCTTCCCCCGTTATAAGTTATCATCTCATTCCAATAGCGCACAATAGCCTTTGCAGTACCCTCCTGAATGGAACTCATTGCACAGGTGATGCTCCAGAGCTGCTCCTTCTCATCAATATGCCAGGCTTCTCCGTGAGACCAGCATAATTTATATGTATTGGCTGCGGGGAAGAGCTATTCTAGACAGAAACAAGGGCCTTTGCAGGAGAACAGCCAACAAATCGACAGCCCCTCTGGTACAAGGTGCTCAGATAGCTTGGATAAAAGGTTTGGAGCTGTGAGCAGTGCCTAATGCCTTAGATTGGCCATCGCTTCCCCACAGCCTCCTGCAGTATTCCCGTCTTGCAAATACCACATTAAAGCACATCGTTTTTGTTGTGGTTGAGGCATTTCTGCACAGAACAACAGGAATTGCAGATCAAGTGCTTTGGGGTGGCAGCGAGGAAACCTTCACACAGCAGCTCCTGAAGAGAGGAGCACCAGGGGGTCCCTTCCAGCTGCAGCTGGCCCACCATGCTGCAGCCACCTACCAGAAAGGGCTCACTCCTGTGCTAAGGCAGTTCTGCCCCAAGCCTTTGGCATTTTTTTTTCCTTCCTTCCTGTGTTTTTGCATGTGATTGTAATTATTGAGGATGTTCAGAGAGAGAGAGACAGGATTTCTGTTCCCAGGAAGCCCATCTGCTCCCGCTGTTTATTTCCTGCAGTTGTAACAGTCGTAATGAATTCCAGTGTCACAACCGCACTGATGGGAATGTGCAGGGAAACCACTTTGCTGCAGGAAGGAGGCCCAAAGGACCCTGAAGACCCTGAAGAAGGTGGCCTCATCCCACCAATGAAAGAGAATCTGAGAGCCCAGAGAGGAGACCTGATGCCCCATCCCTGGAGACATTCAAGGCCAGGCTCGATGTGGCTCTGGGAAGCCTGATCTCGTGGTTGGTGACCCTGCACGTAGCAGAGGGTTGAAACTTTTCAACCCAGGCCATTCCATGATTCTATGATTCTATGACTTGTCCACTCAGGCTGAGCACTGCAGTGGCACTGCAACACGGGGGTCCCCACAGCCAACTTCCCACCGTGGTCACTGGTAGGGCCAGCCCACACATTGGGCTGGGCTGAGTGCTGAAGCAACCAGACAGAGAGGGCCACAGAAATCAGCTGGAAGGAGAATAGCAGCACGGGGATTCCAAAGGCTCAGGGGCTTTGGGGTGGATCTACCCAGCCAACCCCTGAATATGCCAACAGCAGCCTTCACAGCTAACTTATACTGCAGCACCTACCTGAGCAATGAACTCCTAAAGTTATTTCAGGACGCACAAAAAGGACTAACACTGAAAAAAAAACCCCAAAAAACCAAAATCAAAAACAACAACAACAAAGACCCACCACCACCACCAAAAATAACCAAAAAACTAGCCCAAATCTACCTTCTGTTCTCCTGGTCTTGCCTTGTACAATAAGCCCTTTCTTGGTTTCACTGAGCTCCCCAGACTCAATACTCTCAGTGCCTCTTCTCCTGCATCCACTCTCCACTCCTCTAGAGCATCTCTGGGTGATTTCTGCAGCTGTCTAGTCCCTCTTGGGCTGGCCCTGCCTCTCCTTCCCTCTCAGCTCACTGCCCTGTAGCCATCTTGAGCATTCTGTCATCAGATGAAGAAACCAAACTTCCCAAGAGAATCTATCCTGAGTGCGCATTCTGTGGAGTAGACTACAGAGTGGACTCAACAGAGCAGGGAATGCAATATTCCCCAGGTCTGTTTGCAAGCTCTCAAATTAAACATGCATGCACTGGTTTCCACCTGTTCTTCATCCCCCTTTCCTGCCCACAGTGTGCCTTGAATGTCTGGGCAGGCTTTGCAGGGTTACAGGCTAATAAAGCAGTGCTGCGCTTCCCCTGCTTCCCAGATCAGCTCTTGGCTCCCTAAAGGCCAGCTCCCAGGCACAGAGGTTTGTCCCCATCCTTTGTGTGCCTGCCTGTAAACTGCAGAAGTGATGCCTTTATTTATGTATACAGAGAAAAAAAAACAACTAATGTCATGTCATGTCATATCATATCAGTCATATCATATCAACTATGTATTTTATACAGCCCTTGTGGGAGACACCAAACATCACCTGCAGAAGTCAGCAGGTTGCCACTAGTTGCAGTGGAAGTGAATACATGTCTTTATATATTTATACCTAAAGGTGACACACAGATCTGTGAACATGGTGAATTGATTGTATTTGCTGGAAACCACCCGGGAAGAGACACGATGGAGGCTTCCTTGCAGCACACTTGGCCAGGCTGTCAGGGTGGGCCCATGTGATAAAGGAAGTGCAGAAGGTTCCCTTGAGGAAGCACAGATCTGGGGATGGTTTGCTGTCTGGAACAGTGATTGAAGAGCTGATGCCTCCCAAAAGGAAGAACTCCATCGTGGCCACGCAGGCAGGAAGAGTGAGCACAGGGCACAAGTGTGAAGAGGCAGTAAAAGAGCCAAACACAGCAAATAAGGTAAAAGCACAAAAGCAGATGAATGTCATCAGTTTAACCTGAACTCCACAGAAACACCATCAGCTCTGATTAGCTTTGGGTCAATTAGGAGGAGGTAAAACAAAATAATGAATTTGTTTTCTTTGCTCTTTCCCTGAACAGCATTGCTAAATTCAATCCAGCTGGTGCCTGAGCACAACAGTGCGTGCGTGGCTTTCTTCTCATTGTGAGCTTCCTCCTTTCAAGATTATACATCCTCATTTCTCTGCTTTTCGAGAACAAAGACAGCACTGTTTTGTTATCATACAGCTACTTACTCAGAGCTGAGCTGCACAAGAAACCCTAGCATGGTAGAAAAACTATGAATGAAGGATTTGATCAGAGCGAGGAGAAGAGGGGAAGGGGAATACAGATGAGGTTTGTGTTGCCACTGCAGTTATCACAAACAGTAGGGGCACTTGAATTGCATTGGAAAAGGTTACAATAAGGCTCCTCACTGCCAAATTCTTGGCTGGTGGAAATTAATACTAATCTAAATTCAGATGTTGACGGTAGCAAGGTGATTAACACTTGCTAAGGAGACAGCTCTTAAACTGGTCTGTTTCCTAATTTCATTACCATTAAAGCACTGTTCACAGGGATAATACCTGCAGCACTCTGCCCTCTTCAGTCACTTCAGACTTGCTGCCTACAGGATCGAGAACAGGACCTGGGGCCTCTGATTTCTACAGGCTGTTTCCCCACTCACTTTGAGCAGCATGAGCTTCCCAAATCAGGGCTGATCCATTTCTGCCTGTTGTGTTGAGGGCAACCCTTCCACTAGCGCTGTGTGTCAGAGGGGTACAGATGTAATTCTTGTCCCTAGGACAGCAGGTTAGGGACGTAGTGAGCCACACATCATGCCCTTTAATTCAGGGTCAGCCAAGGATAAGCCAAGGACCTAGGGCAAGGCGTGATCCCTTACAATTCAGAACTGGGTGGGGGCTGCATTGTCAGAAGCGCAGCTCTGGCCTTCAGATGAGGAGCCAAGTCTGAGCGGCTGCCCGACTCTATTTCTTCCAGACTTGGGACATTTGCATTTTCTCCCTTCTGAAGCCCAAGAGAAGACTTGAAAGAGCTGAAACTAATGAGGAGCTGAAAAACTGTCATTAGGTATAGGAATAGCTACAAAATCAGAAGCAATGCAGGCAAAAAGCAGAAAGAAATCCCTTTCTCCCCAAAATGCCAAGGTTTCAGCAGGGTCCAGTCAGGGCTCCGTGCCGAGGCAGAGGAGTGATGGGCAGTGACATTCACATCCAGACAGTGGCTGCTGCCACCTCTGCCCATAGGACGCCTTGGCTAGGGAGACATTTACACTCGAGATGAACTTTCCTCATGCAGCCACTGCCAGGCACATGTCCAGAAGTCCTGGATCTGCCTATGCAGACACTGCTCCCCAAGAGCTGATTTTGCAGTTACTTGGGGCACAGCAGGCTGCCAGGGGGAGGGAGCCTCTTTATGCAGCTTCAGGCTCAAATGCTTCACCCTGCAGACTTCACTTGGCCTGCTGGATGCACAATGGAAACCAGCAGCAGCGCAGCAGAAAATTCTGTAGAGCCTCCTCTTCATCATCCAGTGCCATTTCTAGCTGAGCAATGTGCTCCAGCTTCTGTAGGAACAGAGCAGAAGGCTGTCTGGTTATTAGGGCAAGACATGCCTTCTTCCAATGCTGCACAGCAAGCCTTGGGCTCACATCAGGATACAGAGCTGGTTTGCATACTGTCCGGCCAGGGAGAATTACCCTGTCTGACTTCCCGTACATCCCAGCCCACTAATTTTCACACAGTTACCCTGTATTAAGCTTAATTACCCCAGAATTAAGATTAATGGCTTGTGTTGATTAAAGCCTATTCTGAAAAAGAGACTATTACAGCATCAGAGACAAAGAAGCCTCTGCTGGGGGCAGTTCGCCTCAAGGCTCACCAGCCTCACTGCCAAAACCACGGGCTCTGCTGAACTTCCTTGGCTTCATGTTGCAGCCCAAGATGCTGGCTCTGTATCCCCTCCCACATGAAGAAGACTGGGCGTAGCTGAGGCTTCTTCTCCACGAAAGTGCTCAGGCACAAACTTCAAATAGCATCTCACCTCTCTTGCTCTGACTGGATGCGTCTCTCCTCCCTTGACAACAGTTTTCTCTAGTTTTATGACTCTTTGTGGTGCCTTCTGGTTTCCAAACAACCATTATCAACTCCATGAAGAGTCCCGCAGCTGTGGCTGCCAGTGCTGTGGCCTCTCAGGACACTGCAGCCTCTGGCTCTAAAAGATACTGCGGGTGGCATGTCTGCTTTAACTGCAGCAGCACCTTTCCTGCACCTGCACGATTCTTCTCTGTCTCTGCTACAGGAGGACCCAGGGACAGTGGGAACGGCATTCGCTGTAGCCCCGTCATGCTGATGTTAGACGTGGAAGGTTGTGATGTGGTTCATATGCTGACTCCAACATGGTTCCTGAACCAGATTAATAGAATCATACAATTATTGAGGTTGGAAAAGACCACTAAGATCACCCAGTCCACCTGCCAGCCCATCACCACCATGCTGACTAACCATGTCCCACAGTGCCACATCTACCCTTCTCTTGAGCACCTCAAGGTAGGATGTTCTCCACCGCATCCCTGGGCATCCATCCAGTGCTGTGAGGTCTGGTAGACAAGTGCAGATACCATGTTCCTGTATTTCATAGGGAAATGGCTTTATTTCTGACATATTACCACCACATCTGTTTTACATGACATGTAATCTCCTTAGTGCTTCATGACCAACAGGTGTGGTTCAGTGCTAGCTACTCTGCAGCGCAGCAGCACACCTGCAACACTGCTGTCCTGCAGCTACACCAGGAATTCCTCTCTCCCCTGCTGGGATCTGGGATTCCAGGAGTTTATTTTTGCCTTTTGTCCACGAACCAATAAATCAGTGAGTCAAAAAGACCTTGCCTAGGTGGTAGCATTGTCCTTGCTAGAGACCACCAGCTCAGGCAACGTGTTCTGGTGTTCTGGTGGAGTGGGGCTAAGCAAGCATAGCTCGGCCAGAGAGATGCATTTCTAAGCCTTTTTTTGTCCATGCTCATTCCCTGATGCCTTGTGCAAAGGCTAGAGGGATAAATAGAAATTGAAATCGACTGCTTTTTTTCTCTTGCCACCATCTTTCCTTTTCCTGGTCTGCCCAGACACAGAACAACTTTCTTCTTGCTGTAGTTTTGGGTGCTGACACGTTTCCTGCTGTAGGCTGAGATGAATTCCAAGCCAGCTATGGCACAAGAAACAGATTTAAATCTGACAAGCCAGCAAACAACTTTAAAGTGTGAAGAAAGGAGATGGGGTGTCTGTCTCTGGGCTTTTATGCAGCTCTGTTGTGGTGCTTCAGCCTGCTCTACAAAGCCTCCATGGTTTCACTCCAGCCATGAGCTAATTGAGTCTGGTCCAGACAATCTCCTTAACCTTATCACATTTTTAATGTCAAAAATAACACTGTTATGTCAGGGATACCTTGTTCCCTTAATGACATGGCTCACAGTCAGCATGTGGGCAGCCCAGTGCCTGCAGGTAGGCACCACCACCTTTCTCCTGGGCTATTTACAGTGAGGCTGGAAGCACTGTGAACATGTGAAAGCAGTCTCTCTGCTTTCTTTTCTATTTAACCAACATGGTGATATCGGTATCAAAATCAGGGAGCAAAAACAGCATTCCTAGATGCTGGTAGAACTTCAGGCTGCTCAGAGCTGGTGCCCAGAAAGTTCATTACTGGGGGCTGGGGGCTGGATGGCTGCACCCAAATTCCTGCTCTCCTGCATCCCACATCTCCCTGTAACTCTGGTGGGCTGCACAAAGCTGCCCAGCATGTGAAGGGACAAAGCTGGTGCAGCCAGTGCTTCAAGCACCAGGCAAATGGCTGTTCTGGGATGTGGCATGTGAGATGGGGTAGGGCATCACCCAGAGGTGAGGGCATTTCTCCCTGCTGCACCCTGCAGTGAAGGCTGAGCCCCGGCTGCAGTTCCCAGCCTGGGCTGCATGGATGGGTTTGTCACGGGCTGGGGTCAGGAGGGTGGCACAGCACTCATGACCTGTGCTGGCCCCTGCTGACCCCCACCCAGCAGGATGCTCATGGGCAGCCGGGATGTTTTCTCTCTGCTTTATGTCTTTAATCAAAGAACAAAAGCCCTATGTTTAAGTGGGTTTAAATGGTTAAAGGCACTTGTTTCTCTTAAAAGCAAGTGAGATTGCTACTGACATCTCCATAAAAGACAGGCTTTTCATGCACAGTATAAGAGCAGCAGATGAGAAGCCCTTGCTCTGCACACCTGTAGTTGCTTCTTCAGCCTCCTCCTTTTCTCTCATTATAGAAATAAGTACTGCTACCTTCAAAGGGAGAGAAATTTAATTGCCTTATCAGCAGTTTGATGAATAATTAATGCTGCTGCATTTATCAGGAAGTTAACTAAGGCCCGGAGAAAGCCCATTTTGGGTGCTGAAAAGCCTCTGCCAGTGGGTGCGGGGTCAGGGAGGTGCGTGCTGACCCTACCATACACCACAACAGCAAGAAAGTGCAAACAAGGGTGCAACTTGCAAGGGTACAAACTTACCTGAACACAGTGTGTGAGGTGGGCACCTGTAAAGCAAACCCTAATGTGCACAGCCCTGTTCAGCATCACAGCAGAGGCTGAGGCTGTGAAGTTTTGCATGAAATGAAGGTTGACATTTTTAGCTGAATTTGGGTGTTCTGCTGGAGATGCTCTTTAAAACTGAAGCCCTTCTCTGACTTTAAGCAGTGACTCCCACAAGAGGCCTTCACTTCTGTGTTGTAAGAAAAGTAAATAAGATTGTACATGATTCACTGGTTGTACTTGTGAAACATGAGGACAGAAGGCAACAGACAAAACCATTTAAACACATTGGCCGGTTTGATATTTAAAAAAAGAAAACAGCAAGGCTGTGCCCATAGAAGCCTCCTCAGATAGATGCTAAATGTGCCACTGAAAGTATCATCTGTTCAGATTTAATCATCCTCCAGACGCCCTTTCCAAAAATAAAGTGGAAAAGGGAAGAGAAAGTAAGGGGAGGGGAGGAAAGGGAGGAGAAGAGAGGAGAAGGGAAAAGGGAAAGGGGAAAGGAGAAGAGGAGGGGGTGGGGGGAGGAAAAGGGGAAGGGGGAAGGGGAAGGGGAGGAGAGGGATGGAGAGGGAAGGGGAAGGAAGAGGAGAGGAGAGAAGAGGAGGGGAGGGGAGGGGAGGGGAAGGGAGGGGAGTGGAGGAGAGGAGAGGAGAGGAGAGGAGAGGAGAGGAGAGGAGAGGAGAGGAGAGGAGAGGAGAGGAGAGGAGAGGAGAGGAGAGGAGAGGAGAGGAGAGGAGAGGAGAGGAGAGGAGAGGAGAGGAGAGGAGAGGAGAGGAGAGGAGAGGAGGGGAGGGGAGAGGAGAGGAGAGGAGAGGAGAGGAGAGGAGAGGAGGGGAGAGGAGAGGAGAGGAGAGGAGAGGAGAGGAGAGGAGAGGAGAGGAGAGGAGAGGAGAGGAGAGGAGAGGAGAGGAGAGGAGAGGAGAGGAGAGGAGAGGAGAGGAGAGGAGAAGAGAAGAGAAGAGAAGAGAAGAGAAGAGAAGAGAAGAGAAGAGAAGAGAAGAGAAGAGAAGAGAAGAGAAGAGAAGAGAAGAGAAGAGAAGAGAAGAGAAGAGAAGAGAAGAGAAGAAAAGAAAAGAAAAGAAAAGAAAAGAAAAGAAAAGAAAAGAAAAGAAAAGAAAAGAAAAGAAAAGAAAAGAAAAGAAAAGAAAAGAAAAGAAAAGAAAAGAAAAGAAAAGAAAAGAAAAGAAAAGAAGAAATGCTTTGGCTGAAACATTTGGTTCTTGCTCAAGAATCTGGTATGAATTTTATAAAGGTTTCCTGGAAGCGGAGATCAAGGGGCTGGTTTGGGGCTCAGAAGAGGCCCTCTGACAGGATGAAGAAGAGAAAACTGCCAGAGACTGAGACTGATACTTTGTCATTCTCATATTGGGAACATAGCACTGGACTGTTCCTGCTAATTAAAACCAGCGGTGAACAAAGCTAGTTTGCAGAGATTGGGCTTTGGCCAAACATTTGTGTGTGGATGAGGAAATGAGATCATAAAAGTCACGACTGGCCTCCAAGCTTGGGGTTTCTAATTGCCTCTCACACCTTGCTTCCCAGCCCCCGTCTACTATGCTTTGGAATAACAGTGGGATTGAGACTCCTCACCTCTGTTTTGAGATGGCATCTTGGAATGCTGGTGGACAAGTAGATAGGGACCAAGAAAATTCCTGCTCTGGGATCTTCCTTGGTACAAACCAATTAAGAACACCCTGAGGTTGGCCTCCATCCATCTGAATATGGCTTCTGTAGTTATGACTTTTATGTTTTGTGTTTTTCCTCGGGTAAAAATTTGAGCTGTGGTGAGTTTGGCTAAAACCATGGGATTATAAATGACTTGGTTTATAATTCAGAGCAGATGAGGCACTCTGCTGAGCACAGCTCTATGGGTCAGAAGGTACCCTCCTGCCCGCTTCTCAGCAATGGGCTCTCCATGACCATTCCCAGCAAAGCTAGTGGATAAAGTGCAGAGGGACCAGCTGGTTCCTTCCCAAAAACAGAACTTTTTGGGGGTATCCTTTATTGATGAGGCAGAGCTACTTGGCTGCTGTGAGCAAAACCACAGAATTATTGCCCACTTAAGTGTATGAATGTATGAAAAAAATGCATTGTGCCTTCAGCAGATACTGTGATTTAAGTCAGAATACGCCTACCAACAAGTCCATCTCAGTAAATTTACAATCACAAGTGACCCATAGCCTCACTCATACTCTGGGGTAAGCAATGCATCTGCACACCGGGGCTGTATCACATATAAAGGCTTCTCTCTACTGGTGTGATTTTACTGGGTAATTTCTGAGATGTCCTGAGATGCCATTAGACACTGTTAGGCCAAGTCCAACACAGTGTCTGTCTGGTAACACTTGGCCATACCCAAATCACTTCGGATAAAAGGCATCCAACAGAGAGAACAGGAATGGCAAGCCAAAGACTGAGACAACTCATCTCCTCTAATAAGACATTTTCTCATTTATTTTCTTCTCAAAGGACAGAATCAAAGCCTCAATTAATTCCCTCCAACCATTTACCAGCTAATCACACTGGCTTTGCTTCCCAGCTCATTCCATTCAAGTGTAATTTACTCCTAATGTGCCCTAAAATTTGGCTTGTATGTAGAGAGAGCTTTTTTCTCATTTCCAGAGGAAAGCCACATCCTTCAGTGTGGCACTGGTTTACCTCAACTGCTTCACAGCTTGACCTCCCAGCTCTGTCCCCTAGAAAACAGCCTCTGGCACACCCAGGCTGCATACAATGGGCCAACACCCACCCATGTCTGCAGCATGTCAGGGGCTTGCATGCTGCTGGCTAAGTGGTGAGAGGGAGGATGTTGTCACTGTCCTGCAGTGGGATTCCATCAGTGTTTCCGGCTAAGAATGGCTACTTTGGTGTACAGAACAGCATCAGAGCCAGCCCTTGCACTACACCATCTGCAAGGACTGCACCATGCACGTGGTGCTGATGGACTAAGGGAGAAATCAGGTTTCAGGGCCAGAACCATGGGACAACAGCTAGGAAAGGGGTCGGACACATTAGGAAGACTGGAGATGCTGGAGCCAAGCAGGGATGAGAATAATTCATACAGCAAAAGTGACAGAACTGGGCTGAGTCACAAAAGTGAAGGATGGAACTGAATACCCACACAGAGGAGAGAACTGAGGATAAGGATGAGATGGAAGGGAAGGACTGGAGCACCCAGGAAAAGACTCCAACAGCTCATCGCTGGTGCTGAGATGATCTGATTGAGGGGAAAGTGACAGGTGCTTTTGGCGCAGCAACTGACTTTTTGCACCATGTTTGCACAGTGCCATGCTCCTCCTTCCCCCAGAAATGCAGTGAGAGATGAAGAGAAATGATCCAACTTCCCAACGCAAGAGGCACTGGGAGATGCAGTAAGGAAATAACACGAAAGCAGAGATAAAACAGTCCTTACACTTTATCTTCTATCTTTAGACCCACCAGCCAGTAGAAACCAAGTTATCTCCTCAGCTTCCCCTTGTCTCCTGTATTTCTTTTCAAGTCACCAGATTAAACATAGCCATCACTGCAATATGGGAGAAAAGCCAACCGCTGAAGCACTGCTGAAGCTCTCTGGTGGAGTCATTTCTCCCAGGGTTCTCTATTCAGCCTCCTCCGCTCCTTCACAGGGCTCTACCACCAACCTGGGCCCCTGCAGCTGCTCCCCATATGCTTCTTCTTTTGGCTTCAGGACATGACCCACAGCTGGAAAGACAGCATTTCCTACATCATTCCTTCACATCACTCTCCCTCTTCTCCTTGCAGCCTTAATCACAGCTTGAGTGTGAGGAGACCCAGAGATAAGAGTGGAGCTGCAGAAAGCAGCACTTTGCAGTGCTGGGGAAAAGCAAGTCAGACTGCAACAGAGCTGCCACTTTAACTAGGAATTAAACTTAAGTTACTTTATCTGAATGCCACTGTGCATCAGTATATGGCAATGAGCTATGGTGGAAGGGCAGAAACAAAACACGTACAGTTTGTTCATTTGTCTAGTGAAGGCAAAGGATAGAAGAGCTTCTGCCAACTTGACAATAACTGGGCGGCCGTCCTGTAAAAGCAGACATTTTATGGATTGAGGATAATGCCCAGGCATTTTACAAGATGACCGACTCTAGGCGTCTTTTATGTTCGTTGCTTTATTTGCTCCTTCTGAAATACGCTTTAACATTCCAGGTACTTCTGGAAACAACCTCCTGTTACCACTGTGGTGCTTGCATGCCACCTGCCATGACATGATTTTTACTGTGTGAATCTGAAGGAAAGTGAAATTCTGTGGGGAAGGCCCTTGGCATCTATTTGCTCATGACATTTGGTTTGTGATGGGAAGAGATGTCAGGGATGGTCTGTGCCACCAGCTGTGGCTGCCTCAGAGCCCTGGTGAAGCAGCTTTGTCTCATGCACAAGGTTCTGTGACATTTTTTTGAGGCTGCCCAAACACCATCCACAAGAATTGTGACGTTCTTCTCTTGCAATGCTTCTCTTGCCAAATACCTGCTGGACAGCCGTGGGCTGCGGTTCATTGTGGCTGCTATCAAACAAGGTCAGCTCCAGTGTCACCTGGTCAGCATAAGGGAGTATTTAGAAAGTTTCTTGAGCGTTGGATACATGAAGGAGGCAGGTTTGCTCTCCTGAGGCCACAGTAGTGCTGCCCAGAGCCATCACCGCAAAGGGCCTGCAGACATCAGTCAGACAAACGTGACAGCACCTCAGTGACACTATGGAGAATGTCGACACTTCTGACTGTGGAACATTTTCCATTTCAATACAGAAAAAAAAAGATCCTAACCGTCTCAGTTAACGGCAAGGATCAGTTCAGGGAACCTCTGGTCAACCTCTGAATATTTCCTACCGCCTTTAGCAGGACGTCAGCGGCATCAGCATGGGTCCAAGGTACAAGAAGCAGGAGGTCTTGTGGAGAACAGCAATGCTGGGAGCCCTCCCTCCTGCAAAGGCAATCTGAGGATTAAGAAACTCTTTCTCGGGGCATGACTTGTGCAGAGTCACATGGCAACTATGGAAAAGACCAAGACATGGGTCGAGCTGCCCTGACCCCCAGGGCTGGCTGCTCACCACTCAGCCATGCCTGTCAGATCAGGTGAGGAAGGTGCAGAGCTCTGGAGTTGTGACAAGGCTTCACAACCCTCCAGCTCAGGGCTTAGAAAAGAAAGTGGCATTGAAGGCAATTTAAAACGTGAGAAACGTCCACAGCACAAGTGGAGAGTATCTAACAACAAAGTTGAACGGTACTAAAAAATAACCTACACAGGTGGCGTTACAAAAACCACGAGAGAGAAAGAAGAAAAACGAGGAAATGTAACTAAAAGAACAGCTTCTCTCACACTCATGTCATTCCTGGGCCCCTCCAAGCACAGGCAGAGCAAACCCCAGCTCTGGCTGCCAGATGCTCGCTCCCAGCCAGCATCTGCTCGTGGTGTTTCTCCAAGGCCGTGGCTGTGAGTGGTAACAGCCCCATAACAAAGG